TAGGTGCGTTCGACTTCATGCAGCACTGCGCAGACCGATCGCAATCTGACTTGAAGCAGTGCATGCCGGTTAGTAATTTTGTCTGACTTGAGACGGCGCAGACGCCACGTCACTGTCACGTGTGGCATCAAAGCACCGCGAGAGCGTTTCGAGAGCAGCTGGCGCAGTTTCTCCAGAGCGGCTGCAGGAGCTTTGAAGACAACACGATTGGCCAGATTCACCGCATGACAACTATCACGTGTGTTTCGGGTTTATTGTAACCTTTTCAATTCCAATAATAGCCACAAATCTGTGTTTTTAGAACAGTAAAAGCTTTTTTACTGTAGTCGCAATGTTATATTGAGTCACGTTTATCATAAAACACTGATGAAAGCATATATTCCCCCACTTTTATTCGTATTTTAATAGTATATATTTACGTTGAACTTTATTCTTGAACAGATGGCGATGTATATATCTGTTGCTCATGAAAACGTTTCTGAAACGTCTGTATATTTGACAAATAGTATGCAAACACTGCGCGAGCGTCACTAACGGGAGCAGAAATGTCCGGCTTGACGGCTCTGTTTTCAACTCCGCCCCCGACTGCAAGCGGCTACTCTCGTTGACTGCCGTCTGTAGCAAAATAAAAAAAAGTCGCAGCTACAATGAGAAAGTAGCTACATTTGGCGACAAAATCCCCAAATTGGCAACACTGCTAGTGAGTCAGTGATTCACGATTACCCATTCATTCATAAAGACTTCCTGAATGAATCAGCCGTTCGAACGAATCAATTGAATGAATGATTCAGTGATAAAAATCAGTGACTTACCGCCTCCTGCTGTTTCTTTTTAAAAGTATCTTTTCAGTTATTTAAATCATTTAATATTTCTATATTGAAAATGTTATATTTAAAACATTAATATCATTATGGATTTATGGATTGGCACTCATTCCACCTCTGAGCCTCATTAAATGTCTGAAAGTACACGTTTTGAACGTGCTCCTAAATTTTTTAAATTTAAAAGAATGGTATGGAAGCATTTTAGATTTGGCAAGCACGATGACAAAGATACTGTGGACAAGAACAAAGCTATATGCCAAACAGTTGATGGGCCCTATTGACTTGACTTCCACAGTATGGAGAAAAATATATGGAAGTCCATGGGGACCAAAACTCTTTGGTTATCCATATTCTTCAAAATATCTTCTTTTGTGTTCAACAGAAGAAAAGAAATTCATACATGCATAAATGATGACAGAATTTGTATTTTTGGGTGAACTATCACCCAAAAGCCAATATTAGTTTTCCTGCATCGTTCATAGGCTTGCAGCCTCCATGTTACAGCTAATGCTGTGAGATTATGTTTGTTCTGTCTTAAACATAAAATAACCTGATCCTGTTTGATCAAGGCATGCGGCTGTTCTGACTTGTCCAATTTTCAGCACCAGTTTTTCATCTTGCATCAAAATTCTGTCCACTGCTAATTTTTTATAAATATAGGATTTGTATTAAATCTATATTCATTCATATAGTCAAATCGAATCGAGAATTGAAATCGAATCGAATTGGAACATCTGAATCGATACCCAGCCCTAACTATGAACATAACTCACCAGCAGTGGATTACACGAGGGCTATATATACCACATGACTAACAGAGGACATGACTGGGGCAAAACTACAAAATAAAGACATGAAAACATGAGCATACCCCAAACGTGATTATAAAAAAAAAAAACGGACCCACTAACACTAGCGTTCTCTATTCTGTTTCTATTCTATCTTATTGTTTTCATTTTTTTTATTAATAAAAAAATAAATAAAAACACGTGCTACGTGTGCTGCGTTAGACTAACCGGGATTCGTCACAGCACTTACATATTAATGCCCTTTTGTTGGTCTGATTGCTTCTGTTGTCCTCATTTGTAAGTCGCTTTGGATAAACGCATCTGCTAAATGACTAACTGTAAAAGTCTAGTCTGCTGTTTGATTGTAATAAGGCATGAACTGATGAGTAGCAGATGAAGAATGAACAGACTAGATGAGGGTATCGTTCCCTTCATATCTCATGCAGAAACACTAAAATATCAGGATCAGTGCAGCTGCAGGAACAAGTGTGTCAATCTTTTGCTCCCTTCAACTTACGCCCCAAAAAAGGAAAAACTAAGACAAACAGTACCATGAAAACATTGACTGTGCAGGTCGAAACATGATGTGAACCTTGGATTTAATGAGAGCTTGAGTGTTTGGCAGCAGTAGCCTCCAGCAGACAGGATCAGGAGGAACTTCACACACATGTAGACACTTCCTAAGACCTGCGCTTTGACCTGTGGTCACCGGGATCCATGCGTGACAGCTTGGAAGAACAATGGGAAAGTTTAATAAGAGAAAATACGATGCAGAATCGAGGGCTGTAGAGTCGTCAGAGGTTTGAAAAGTTTTCTGTATCGGGTTTTTACACTTTCCGCAGATGTCACCAGTATTAATAGAAGTACATTTGCACCTGCATCCCGTCTCAAACTCGGTGCTGTGCTGTTAAATATTAATTTCCAAGAGACAAATCATGTCATATTGCTAGTAAATGAACTTATTTGTTAATCAACATTTTGACCCAGAGAGGATTTTCCTGAAAATGTTGATGTTGGACTAAACCTTACTGACTTTGCTCAAACAAGCTTTTTTGTTTTGTTTTGTTTGTTTATTTTTTAAATAATTTTTTGTACTTTTTGGGGGATTTTTTCCCCCAACCTTGTTACACTTGTGGCATTCCTCGTCAAAAATGACCTTTCTACAAAAAATTGCTTATACATTTCTTGTTATGCTATATTATTACCAAATATTGGTAATTCCCTCAGTTTTTGAGACAATATTGACAAATTATAAACAAATATGTTTATTTATTTAGTCTTAGTCCTGTGTTAAATGTTTTCATTTGATCATATTTAATCATTTTTTTGTAGTTGACTGAAATTCCCAGAAGTTTAGTCTAGTTTTACTCAATATAAACTCATATTTTAGTCATGCCGTGTAATAGCTAAACTGATCTGTAACTGCAATTACTGATCATGATTGTTGTCATCTGAGAGATTTCATCAGAATTATTGCACTTTCACCAATAAACACAAATCAAGAGAATGTCAACTCATACGCATGCTTTTTGACCTTCCTGATTTATTACATTTTCATAAATTAACACACTCTTTACATTACGAAAACTGGTTCAACTTAAAAGCTTCCCTCAAATGCTAAAAGAGTAAAAGTTCTCATATAAATTCCCATATTCAGTGATTTGCACTAGCATTTCTCCCTCAAAGAAGCATGCATGATGTGGTATTATTGTGCATGTGTTTGTTCAGATAACACATCAACTGAGGAGAGCTCGGAGGAAGAGGAAACCCATGAAGAGGAAGAGGAAAGAGAATCAGGTTGACATCTGATCACTCTATATAATCTTTTCTGGTGAACTAGAAAGCACGCTGATGCTTAATAATCTACTAGAATATTAGTAATGCATCTGAACAGTAATGTATCTTGCAGTTTTACTTGGTATGTTTTGTCGTATGTCTGAACAAAACCTGAGTGCCTCTATCTTTTAAACAGAAGATGAATTGCACTGAAAGCCTAAGATACAGTAAGAATCACAGTAACGGACAACAAGAGACTGTAGTATCATTTTATTTTAAGATGAAGCTTTCAGCGGTCAGTCTTATTGATCTTGAGTGAAGGATAAAACATAATGCTACATTTTCACGCTTTTCCAGACTCCGACACGAGACCCAGAGCAGAACATCACAGTGGTAATGATGCTCCAGCATGTTTGATACGTGTGCCGTGTTTAGATCAGGAGCTGATGTCATAAATCTGTGTTTCTCTCCCGTGACGCCTCAGACGAGCAGCGTCAGGCCAGCTGTGAGAAGTGTAAAGCTCTGAAGGTCAGTCTCTGAACACCGATAGCCTCCACACAACCTTCTTAGCTTCACGGCATTCTACAGAACATTTAGTGTAGTACACAATCAATGATTCAGAAGTGGATATCTGGAAATATCAGCGTTAAATAGTATTTCTAATAAGCACCCTGTAAGACGGGTTCTGTGGGTCTTAATTCACCCTTCCACAAATGAAGACCTTAAATTAGAGCAGGACGTCTTCAACTCATGAAGTCATGGCATTAAACGTTGCATGCATTGCTAAAGATAAGTATCTTCCTCAGTATTCTGTCTCGTTTTCCAGTACAAAAATCTAGACATCCTTGAATCAAGACACATTTGCGTACTAAATTCTAGTCTAAGTTTCTTTGCTTGGTCTTAACAAGTCTTAAATTTAGCTTCATAAACCCTGTGATGTCGTGACTTTGAGCACAAGGCTAGTAACGGCTCAGTGACCTCCTCTCTAAAGACTTACGCTATCGGTCAAACGTTTGCTACTCTTTATTTTACTATTATTCTACAGTCAAAGTATTGAGAACATTGAAATAGCACCAAAGGACGTAGTGATGAAAACCAGAGATGTCCGCACTCTGGACATTCATTAAACACCTTCATCAGGTGCATCATGGGATGATTTTAGACACCAGTGAAGGAGGACCGTGTGATGATGAGCACGTTTGGTTCTGTCAATAGACTCATATAATATTTGCTAATTTCATGCATTTAATCATAAGCCTTTAGTTTAAAAGTTTTCTAAGATCATGAGATACATAAATTCAGTGAAGTATACGTTGTGGATCTATATATCAGCATATCATAATATATACCTGTGGTTCTCAAACTTTTCAATCAAAGTGTCACCTTTGATCAGACAAAAAAATAAACTCACGGGAACAAAGGAAGACTTCTGCTTAAGTCATCTCTAGACCATAAAATAACAGGGAAGGGAGGAGGTAGAACAATAGGCTTTTATTAATGTTTACAAATCAAATAAAAGCAGACAAAAGCTACCCGTAGGTGAAGACTCTGGATACACAACACGTCAAGGCAGGACACAAGCGGGAACACAGTGAATGTTGACGATGAACTGGCACAGGACCGAGAACAAAGAGAGAACGGTGAGCAAACAAGCAGGATAATGAGGGAGGACAGGTGGGGCAACTGAACAGTAATCGGGTAACAAGTGGGGCAGGCTCAAGACTAATAGGTAGGGCACATAGAAACAAACAAAACAAAGCCATGTGCCCACACAAAACACAAGAATACACGGCCAATCAGAGCACTCACAAGCCGTGTGTTCACACAAAGCAAGACGACATGAACGCACACAGCCAATGAAAATCACCAGCTGCGTGTTACACGTGTTACACGCCAAGCTGATCCCAGGAGACTAGTCTAGGAAGGCTCTGTTGAGTCCCTTTTCTGGTCTAATCACACTCAAAAAGCACACTCAAACAAAGACAAGACGATACATAAAGCTACAAATAAACCAGAGAGCGGTGACAGAACCCTGACAGATGCATCAACTTTTATTTCTCCAAAGGAATTTTAGGAGAAACATCTGAGACACTGTTATATGAGCATCAAGTGTCCTGAGCTGAGGAAAAGCAATGCATCTGATCACTCAGTCATACACTAACACAACACACACCAGATCCATGTCATATTTTGCAGAACTGTGAAATAGCTTGATGAGAGAAGCATCTAAAACATTTTAAATACTGCAAATAAATGTATATTTATAAACTGAAGCAATTTAATCTATTAACGCGTCTCAGTCACTATTTTGAAGTGCTGTGTCTGGTTTCATGACGCACTAATGCGCACTGAATCCAATGTTTCTGCGTCAAAAACCAACCAAATATTGTTGTAGACGAAGCATTCAAAACTGGCTATTTTATGAAATAGATTGACAGAATGGCTTATCAACTACTGATGATGAATGTAATGCTGACACAAAACTGTTTTTTCCCTCACAGAATCCCAAATATGAGCTGGTCACCCCCAGGAAATTGTCTCAAGATCGGCTACAGTAGGTTCTTGTTCTCCGTACTGTACATATGTCCTCAGCGCAGTAGCGTGATCAGTCACATCTGACTCTGCGGTCTAAACCTGACTAGTCTAAAATTCTTCTCTGCACTGCCAGGTTTATAAAAATGTCAAATGTGTCATTTCTGCTGCATGGTATTATTCCCCAATGAATGATATGTCAAGAAAGCCAAGGTTCAGAATGCCACATATGAACTGGTAAACCTTTGAAAAACTACTGTCCAAAAGTTGGAGGTCAGTTTTTTTATGTTTTTGAAAAAAGTCTCTTCTGTTCACTATAAGGCTGCACTTATTTGATCAAAAACACTAATATTATGAAATATTATTAGAATGTAAAACAGCTGTTTTCTATGTGAATCTCTGTTAAAGTGTAATGTATTTCTGTGATGTGCAGCTGTATTTTCAGCATCATTCCTGCAGTCTTCAGTGTCACATGATCTTCAGAAATCAGTATAATATGCTGATCTGCTGCTCGAGAAACATTTCTGATTATTATCAATGTTGAACACAGTCGCGCTGCACAATATTTTTGTGGAAACTGTGATGCATTTTATTTTTCAGGATTCACAGATGAACAGAAAGTTCAGAAGAACAAAATATTTTCTATTTGAAATAGAAATCTTTTGTAACATTATAAATGCCTTTACTGTCACTATTGATCAATGAATGAATTAAAGTATTACTTTCCTCCAAAAACTTATATTTAAAAACATAAATTTACATATACAAACTGTATATTTACATATATAGTGGGTGTAGAAAAGCCTCTTTAAAATCATCACATTTTGTTGCTTTGCAGCCTGAAATGAAGACGGACACAGTTTTTGTTTTATCCAGCTGTATTTACTCAGTGCAACTTATAACATCCAAGTGAACGATATAACACAAAATAAATAAAAAACAGAATCACTGAGTTGGAAAAAGGATCAGCTCCTTGTGTCAGTATTTTGTTGAAGCACCTTTTGCTGTAATTACAGCCTTTAGTCTGTCGGGATTTGTCTCTGAAACTTTGAGATATTTGCCCGCTCTTCTTTGCAGAACTGCTCAAGTTCAGTTCAGTTTGTGTGTTTTGGCAAAGCTCAGTCTGACTGCATGTGGCCTTTCTTGAGGGGTGGCTTCTTTCTTGAAACCCTCTCATATAAGCCACATTTGTGGAGGATTTGTGATATTGTTGTCACATGCACACAATGAGCGCTCTTTGTCATAAACTCCTGCAGCTGCTTCAGAGTTGCTGTAGCTCTCGGTCACCTCTCTGACCAGTTTCCTCCGGCTCTTTCATCAGTTTGGAGAGACGTCCTGATCCAGGGAGGCTCTGTGTTTTACCAAATACCTCCCGCTTCTTAATAATAGACTTCACTGTGCTTCTAGGAATTGATAAAACCTTTGAAATGTTTTTGTCTCCATCTCCTGACTTGTGCCTGTCCACAACTTTATCCCGGAGGTCTTTTGACGGTGTCTTGCCCAGACACAGACGAGATCACAGCTCACTCACTCAGCTGTGAGTTTATCATGTGTGTGTGTGTGTGTGTGTGTGTGTGTGTGTTCAGGACATGCTCTTCTCTCCTGTCATCGTGGAGGTGAAGGGATACTTCGAGGTCTTCTTCGAGGAGAGTCCTCCCTTCAAACTGTCCTTGACAGATGCTGACTCGAGTCATACTGTATGGACGGCTACCATCAGAGAGGGTACGGTTCAGTCAACACAAACACGAGCCGCTCCTTTCCAGGAGACAAAAATGTTGTTTTCAATAACTTTATCTGAAATGTTACTGAAATGTTAATCATATTTTCCACCTCATGCCTGAAGTAACGGGTCTATAACTGACAAAGAGAGGAGCAAGCGTTCCCTTCAGATTACTACTCCACAAATATGCTTTTTAAAGGCCAAGTGTTAAACTCTGTCAAAGCTTTACATTATTTCAACCCTGTGACAGTAAGTTTACAATTAATACACTTTAGTACACACCTAGTACTTATAAAGCACATTTGTGTTCCTGCAGCACAGAAGCAGTGTTAAGTCGCTGGGGGATATTTGTAGCAATAGCCAACAATACATTGTATGGGTCACAATTATACATTTCTCTTTTATGCCAAAAATCATTAGGATATTAAGTAAAGATCATGTTCCATGAAGATATTTTGTAAATGTCCTACCGTAAATATATCAAAACTCAGTACACATCTAGTACTTATAAAGCACATTTGTGTTCCTGCAGCACAAAAGCAGTGTTAAGTCGCTGGGGGATATTTGTAGCAATAGCCAACAATACATTGCATGGGTCACAATTATACATTTCTCTTTTATGCCAAAAATCATTAGGATATTAAGTAAAAATCATGTTCCATGAAGATATTTTGTAAATTTCCTACCGTAAATATATCAAAACTTAATGTTTGATTAGTAGTATGCATTGCTAAGAACTTCATTTGAACAACTTTAAAGATGATTTTCTCAATATTTAGATTTTTTTGCACCCTCAGATTCCAGATTGTCAAATATTTGTATCTCAGCCAAATATTGTCCGATCCTAACAAACCATACATCAATGGAAAGCTTATTTATTCAGCTTTCAGATGACGCATAAATCTCAATTTCGAAAAATTGACCCTTAAGATTGGTTTTGTGGTCACATATTAATGTCTTATTCTGCATAATTCCTTAATCCTAAACCCCACACCTAAACTTAACTACTACCTTGCTAACTATTAATAAGCAGCACATTAGCAGTTCACTGAGTCAAAAGTCACAGTTAATAGTGAGAAATGGACCCCAAACTAAAGTGTGACCAATATGTCAAATAATGTGTTCAGTATCCTGTTCATTTGTAACAGTAAGTCATGAAGACAGTTTCCTGAGAATGTCCAATAAATGTTATTATAAATCTTTTACAGGAGACTGCGTACATCATGTTGATGAAACCCCCAAAAAACCATCCAAAGGTATGTAGTGCACCCCTGTCCTCAGTGCAGCGCTGCAGGGATGGATTTTTTAGTAAAATGTTTTGGTTAAATGCCTGAAATAAGGTAAATAAACTCAAGATACTTTCATGTTTTATCCTATGTCACAAAAAACACAAGTTGTGTTTGTTGGTGAAGATTATCGTGATGAACAAAACATGTAAGAATGAAAAACTTCTGTTGGTCGCAGAGCTTATTTTCTGCATTAATCCAAAAGCCAATGGAATGATGTGATGTGAACTTATAAAAACACATCATCCCTTGAGCGCTCTGTTCATCACACTCTCAGATTGTTCAGGACTGATGCATATTCTGTGGTCTGGCCGTCTACAGGCAGAAAGAGACAGAGCAGCACATCAGAGGAAGAGCTGTGTCACAAGCACAGTAAGAAAGCGCGCGGCATTGACGAGGCCGGTAAGTTTATGATGGCCCCATCACAGTATTTATCCTGATTGTGTGTTGACTGGAGTGCTGGTGTGTGTTCAGACTGTAACGCCACGGCCGCGGCTCCGGACCTGACGGACCAGCAGCTGATGCAGGTGGCCAAACGCATGGGGAGGGAGTGGAAGGTCGTGGCCATCAGCTGTCTGGGCCTCAGCAAGCAGGACCTGGAGGAGATGGAGGTCGCCGAGGAGAACGGGACCATGCTGAAGTTCAACATGCTGGAGCGCTGGAGACGACGACAGCCCAAGGGGAAAGCGGGAATTCAGGATCTCCTCAAGTGTTTGAAAGACAACGATGACGTGCCGAATGAGGTCATTGCTGCGCTGGACGGTGAGTGACGGGATCTGGTGTGATGCAGTGTGGTGGAAAAGCCTTCTGAGGTGTGTCTTTTCTTAGTGTTGACCGATATATCGGCCGATATGTGACCCTGGAGCTGAATTTATACAAAGCTGAATAATAAATAATCTTTCCATTGATGTATGGTTTGTTAGGATAGCACAATATTTGGCCGAGATACAACTATTAGAAGCGATGCCTGTGATGTTGGCAATCATTCCTGTTTAATGCTACACACTACAGACAAAAACAATGCATTTTTTTATTTCTTTTTTTCATGCACTGGTCAGTTTTGGTTACATAACACGTCTTCTTTCAAACTTGTGTGAAGAAAACATCCAAAATACACGTTTTATTCCCGTCTATATTCTGAAGGCCTTTACTGAGGGGTTAGTTCATATATCATGGTGAAAATTTATTGCTTTCTGTCCGTTGACAGCATTTTCTAATTCATGGAGTGATAAAAAGAGAAATCCAAAATCTAAAATTTCATTAAAATCATGAGGATTGTGATCCTGACTTTTTCTAGATTTTTTTGCTAAATTAAAGCGTGCCTCATTTTCAAGTTTAAACATTGAAGAATTGTTTAGAACTGTCTCCGTGTACTGTACGGTGAGATCTATTACATTTTTATACTGTTCATCTGGAGTGAAACACATTTATGCTCCTCTGTGCCGTATGAAATGTTTTTAACGTCCTTGTGGATTGAAACATGAAGTTAGAGTGGGCCATATCGATTCCCCCGTCAGATTCAATATGAAGCATTTCTGTAATAATGCCAGTTCCTGTTACTACTGTAAAACGCCGATCGTTTGTAGTAATGCTGAGCCCTCCCTCCTCGTCAGTACAGTTACTTGTTTTTCATTTGTGTCTCATCTTTTTTTCCAGAGATGCTACAAAAGAACTCAGCCACATGAACATTAGCTGTCTGGAGTCTGTGGACTGACAGATGGTCAGGAGTCATCTTAACCACTGTTCGAGAGCGATGGAGACGTCCTGGAAGAGCAGGCCGGTCGCGCTCAAGTCTGGACGGAGATGTTTGTGCTCCGACTGGAATCTGGTGCTTTCAGGAAAACTGAGCTCTGAATACACCAGACACGCTTAGTATGTCTGTAGACTTGTACACTTTGCATGCATCTCTTTATTTTGCGCTTGTGTTTGTATATATTTTAAGATACTGTACATATTTGAATGTCTTAATGTCTTCTGTACAGTAAGTAGAACTCTGTTTGTTTTGTTGCATTATGAGATT